GAAAAGCACAAGTGCGTTGAGTTCTCTACTGGATTTTTAAAAAACCTGTGAACCCCCTGAAACTGTATGTGAAAGTTGAGACATATGTGCATGTATTCTGGAGGTGGGATGAGGTCACCTATAGCTTTCATGTATTTTCCAAAGTAGTCTGTGTGTGACCTGTGCCCCTCCCCAAAGATTAAGGATCGCTGTATAGATTAAAAAGAGTCCATCACTCTCATTGCCTCAGGCTGGGTTGGGGGAGCCCCACAGCTTTCTGGCTGGCCAGTGGTAATCTACTGGCCTTGTCCAGAGGCTCACTGGAGTGGGTTTCTGCTAATGAGCTGTACAACAATAAAGCCATTGTCTAGTTCTCCTGGGCCAGCTGGTGCCTGTGAAGGCAGAGGCAGGAACTCATCCAAGAGGACTGGCCATGTTAGGTTACAGAAGCTGGAGCTTTCAGACATCCCCATGTCAGTCTGCTTAGGCAGACACAACCTGAATCTATTAAAGTTGGTGACAATTCACCTCAGTCTCTCAATGTGTGCTATTAATGAGGCCTCTGAGCTTCCTATCCAGCAGTGGTGAAGGCCTTGCCCTGGGTGGCAAGATACTTGCTCTATGGTCACAGCTCAGCCACTGGAAGCTGTGTGACCTCAGGTGAGCAATTCACTGTCCAGACTCCACTTGTAAAAGGAATGCTGGTGTGGGCCAGGCATGGTGGCTCACGCCTGCAATCCCAGCACTTTGCGAGGCTGAGGCGGGCGGATCACGAGGTCAGGAGATCGAGACCATCCCGGCTAACACGGTGAAACCCCGTCTCTACTAAAAATACAAAAAAATGAGCCGGGTGTGGTGTGGTGGCAGAGCGGTTGCCTGTAGTCCCAGCTACTCCGGAGGCTGAGGCAGGAGAATGCCGTGAACCCGGGAGGTGGGGCTTGCAGTGAGCTGAGATCACACCACCGCACTCCAGCCTGGGCGACAGAGCGAGACTCCGTCTCAAAAAAAAAGAAAAAAAAGAAAAAGGAACGCTGGTGATTCGTAACGCATTCGTATTAAATGTCTGTTGTCAGGCTCAGAAGAGCCATCAGCTTTAAGCTGTAGACTGAATAGGAAATGCTGCCTTATCCCTATCTCCCTCTAAAGCTTATAAAGCCTGCTAAACCCAGTCCCTGCCATATGCCCTTAATATAACCTTTATCAGCTCTTTTGTTACTCAGGGTTCTAAGACGGACTTAATTTCAGGTTCCACATGGGCAGCACAGCAAAAGGAGCCTGAATGAGGCAGCTCTACCCCCCAAAACCCCTGACCACAGTTATCTTCCGGGTAAAAAGACCTCAGAGGCAACAATTCTGGCTGGGTGCAGTGGCTCACGCCTATAATTCCAGCACTTTGGGAGGCAGAGGTGGAAAGACCGCTTGAGTCCAGTAGTTCAAGACCAGCCTGGGCAACATAGTGAGAACCTGTCTCTGTTTAAATAAAACAAACAAAAGAAGCAATTCTGCTCTTAACAGCTTGATCTCATTGAACACTGCCAAAGCAGAGGCACTTTTTTTGTAGTTTCATGGAGCAAAGGGGCCACTTGATTGGGAATGTGAGCCCACAGTATATCTACCAGATCCTGCTTTCCCAAGAAACCTACCCACTTACGCTACAGCCTTCAGAAAATGATTCCAATCATTTGTGAACCCTGTTGAGCTCAGACGAACTCAACTGAGGCTTTGGTTGAGTCAATACCATAGTCGTGGCCCAGAAAGGGGCTAGAGCCAGGCCTGGGCTTGAGAAACCTCAGTGCCTTGATTCCACAACAAAGCTGATCCAGCTGTTCACTGCCTGGACTAGAAATAGACTGCCCAGACCCAACAATTCAGAATCACAACAAGATTCTGCATCTGACCATGTACAGAACAGCCGAGCACGGGCAAACTTGTGAGGTCAGCTTGTCTGATCCCCATTCCTAAACGAGACCCCAGTGAGACCTCAGGGCCTGACCACACAGCTAGGGGTGGCAGGGCCAAGAGCTGAGCTCTGGTCTCTTGAGCCCTAGGGGCACTTACTGCTTAATAGCAACTAGAGGTTTGTGCTCACCTATCTTGGGATCCAAGCCTTAGCCTTTAGAACCAAAAATTTGAACCCAATTATACTACTGAACTAGTTCTTAGAAGTGAAAATCACCCCAGAGCTTTCTTACATGGCTGGTGCCAGAGAGCGAAAGGTCAAGCTATTTGTAGCTACAGCTTGTGGGCGTGTTTACAGTCAGCGGCTCTATTGACTCCAAGAACAAACCCTTGACGACAGGGCATTCATTGCCTCATGTCAAACAAAAGTAGTGCACAAAGTAGTGAAACTCTGTGTTTTGCTGACCCCTGCTGAAAGCCCAGTGTTTGCTACGTCAGCAGCAGAGTCATTCTGTTGCCTGGACAAAGTAATTGGGGCAAAGCCTACCTACTGGAGCCTAGGGAATAGCTCCATGCTCTAGGCCATGTGCTTGCTGAAGGCTCTGTAAGTCACAGGAAATACTACCTAGGAGAATTGTGTCCTGTCTGAACCTGGGATGTTTTCTGTTGTTTTGAGATAGGATCTCACTGTCACCTAGACGAGTGCAGTGGCACAATCATGGCTCACTGCAGTCTTGCCATCCTGGGCTCAAGCAATCCTCCTACCTCAGCCTCCCAAGTAGCTGGGACTGCAAGCATGCACCATCATACTCAACTAATTTTTTAGATTTTTTTTGTACAGACAGGGTCTCGCCATGTTGCCAAGGCTGGTCTCCAACTTCTGGGCTCAAGCTATGGTCCTGTCTTGGCCTCCCAACGTGTTGAGATTACAGATGTGAGCCACTGCACCTGGCCTGAACCTAGGGTTTTAAGAGTATTCAAGAGTTATTTTAACTTGCTCTCAAGCAGTGCCAAGTCAGTTGTGAGAAAAACTGGACACATTACACTCCTTGGCTGGGCAAGTGGGTGGGCCTGGCAGTATGTAAGCATGGAGAAACTAGAAACATTGTAAGAAACAGAAGCACAGGATCCACAGAGATGTGGGGAGTGGCTGTGACCTTGGGATAGCACCCCTAACCTGGGGTTTGTCTCCATCTTTAAAAGTCTTTTCGGGCCAGCGCAGTGGCTCACGCCTGTAATCCCAGCACTTTGGGAGGCTGAGGCAGGCGGATCACGAGGTCTGGAGTTTGAGATCAGCCTGACCAACATGGTGAAACCCCGTCTCTACTAAAAATACAAAAATTAGCCGGGTGTGGTAGCACGTGCCTGTAATCCCAGCTACTCAGGAGGTTGAGGCAGGAGAATCACTTGAACCCGGGAAGCAGGGGTTACAGTGAGCCGAGGTCACACCACTGCACTCCAGCCTGAGCGACACACACAGCAAGATTCAGTCTCAAAAAAAAAAAAAAAAAGTCTTCCCTTTCATTAGCAGTAAGATCCTTATCTATCCTAATTGCCTTTAGGGCACAGTAAAGGATGTAGGAAAGGGCTTTTAAGGTTTTGGTCCCATCT